GCCTGGGCCAGGTGGGGCGCCGAGGGCTGGGGCTGGGCCTGGGCCTGCTGGGGGGTGCCTGGGCAACGCCGGTGGCCGCTGCTCTGGGAGCAGGAGGGAAGAGATGCTCTCGAATGCCCTACCTGACTGGGCTGGCGGGCGTGTACATCTGGTTGCTTTGTACTGACTTGGTTTACTGTACAGGGAGGGGAGAGAGAGAAAACTGGGGTTTTCAGCTAGGTTGCTGATAAGTGGGGGAGGTGTCTGTGTTACACGAGGTGTTGTTCCTTTAAATTACCTGTTTTATAGTTTGGTTTAGAGACATCTTGAGCAGCTGCGACGCCTTCTATTGCTCAGTGTTTATGGAAATCTGATGCCTTATGCTTTTCAGGATTAATTGCTGTAATACGAGTTGATATTAATTAATTATTTTTTTTAATATGAGGTAATACTCCACAAGAGTAGGGAGGTGATTGTGCCCCTGGGCTGGGCACTGGTGAGGCTGCACCTCGAATCCTGTGTTCAGTGTTGGGCCCCTCACTGCAAGAAAGACTCTGAGGGGCTGGGGCGTGTCCAGAGAAGGGAACGGAGCTGGGGAAGGGGCTGGAGCACAAGTCCTGTGAGGAGCGGCTGAGGGAGCTGGGGGTGTTCAGCCTGGAGAAGAGGAGGCTGAGGGCAGACCTGATCGCTCTCTGCAGCTCCCTGAAAGGAGGGTGCAGGGAGGTGGGTGCTGGTCTGTTCCCCTCTGGGTACCTGGTGATAGGACAGGAGGAAATGGCCTCAAGTTGTGTCAGGGGGGGTTTAGGTTGGATATTAGGAAACACTTCTTCACTGAACGAGTGGTCAGGCATTGGAACAGGCTGCCCAGGGAAGTGGTGGAGTCGCCATCCCTGGAGGTGTTCAGGGAACGTGTAGACGTGGCACTTGAGGACATGGTCGAGCGGGTACGTGAGTGTTGGGGTGGTGGTTGGACTGGATGATCTTACAGGTCTTTTCCAACCTTGGTGATTCTGTGATACTTGCACTTTAATAGATACTTTCAATGAGGAGAAAAAAAAGGCAACAGCAGGATAAAATGTCACTTTAAAACCAGTTATCCTCACAACCTGATATTTTCTACTTAGTTTTTTTTTTAAAAAAAACCACGTTGATCTAATCAAATTGATGAGAAAACAATGGATGAGGCCTCTCTGCAGCTACTTAAAAAAAAAAACCACGTTGATCTAATCAAATTGATGAGAAAACAATGGATGAGGCCTCACTGCAGCTATATGGCTCACTAAGGAAAAGTGTAGGCTTTCATTCTGTACATCAGGAATTCATTTATGAACATAACTGTGGATCCCCCTGATTTCATTGACGATACTCATACCAACCGAATAAGTATATGAGTTTCTGCAGGGTTAGTGCTCCACTGCTGTTGCTAATAGGAAAGTATCCACTGTCTCCCCATGATTTCATTGACGATACTCATATATGAGTTTCTGCAGGGTTAGTGCTCCACTGCTGTTGCTAATAGGAAAGTATCCACTGTCTCACTTAGACTGTATCTAGCTGGCACTCACACTGCAGTGTAAACAGCAGGCTCGAGTTTGGTGCTTGGTGGGGTTATTTTTAAAGCAAAAAGGGGTTTTAAATTACCTGAAAAGCAAAATTGCTGTTAGAAATGTAGAGAGCATTTTCTGTATAACATTGATGTTTTTCTTTGTAGCCGTTTGATGGCGTTAAAAAGAATGGGAATTGTCAAAGATTATGAGGTAGGATTCTATCTGTATTAAAACAGCCTTGAATATTTTCCTGGCAAGGACCACTTCTGACATACTGCTCTGTATTTAATTTCTTTTTGCAGAAAATCCGTACCTTTACAGTTGCAGTAGTAGGTGTAGGCGGAGTTGGCAGTGTGACTGCTGAAATGTTGACAAGGTGTGGCATTGGTAAGGTAATGAGATTTTTCTTTGTACTTAGTTACAGTTAGGTGGACTAGTTTTCTTCACAAAGAGTTAGATTTGATTTCACTCAGTTGTTTTTGCCCAAATGAAAAAGTACCATGAAGAAAGTACTCACGATCAGCATTTAAGTAAGCATCACAAATGAATAGTCTTAACTCTGTATTTTTATATAGCTAGTAAAATTGATTTACTTAAGGCTTAATCTTGTATCATCTGGATGATTCCTGTCTGCATGCTCGTCTCTGTGCTCTTATACCAGTCCATCTCTCTAATAATCATACTGGAAAACAAAAGGAAAACAAAATAAAGGGCATATAAGATTGTGTCCTGTGTTATGAGAGTAAGTTTATATTCATGGAATTGAAATGCAGATGTCAAACAGATGTTTTTATCACAAACATTAGGTCATCATGTGGCAGACTTAGAGCTAAAAATTTGGCAGCAATTAAAAATAATTTGATACGTGTATCAAAACCTTCCAGAGTTAATAGAACAGGATTTTTCTTTAAAGAAGGAATTTGGGGAAAGGCTCTGATGCTTGTATTCCCAGGCAAAGCCTGACTGTTTATTCTTGGAACTTTAAGAAGTTCCTTAATACAGAGGTGATGCAATTTTTTATTGCAAAGTTTATTCCCCCATCCTCTGTAGGAGCGTTTCCTGAAGTCCAGCGTCCGAGGCATAGAAAAGGACGTGGGACAGTTGATCCGGAATTTATAATAATCAACATGTCCATGTATTATGTGGGTGTTCTAAGTGAATTGGTTTTGAAGAACTACATGCCAAGACAAGTGAAGGAAATTGCACATTTCTAGTTAACAGCAAGTAGGAATTTGATAGCAGGATGACAGCGTTCATGTAGATAATCTTGTTGAATATTCTTGGTTTAGATCAAATTAACAGATTGCTTTTTATTAAGAATGGTGAACCAGTTCCATGTGAATGGCAGTTAGAATTCAGTCCTTCACATACTGACAATGTTGGTACGTTTTGTATGTGAACTGAATGAACAGGGAGGGGTTTGGGGGGGTTTTGTTGTTTAAAATGCCTTGCCCTAGTGCTCTGGTTGCAGTCTTCGGAGATTCAGCTATGTTCATACAATCTTTATTGTAGCTGCTTCTGTTTGACTATGACAAAGTGGAACTGGCAAACATGAACAGACTCTTCTTCCAACCTCATCAAGCTGGATTGAGTAAAGTGCAAGCAGCAGAGCATACCTTGAGGTAAAACTTAGAGAAGTGGGTATCAAAATGTGTTTACCCAGGATGCTGCCCCAGAAAACCAATGTTTCACTCTTAATCACTTACCGAGTAGCACAATCTAATTTGGAAATTTGAGTATAAAATAGTTGTGGGGATGGTTGATACTTTAAGGACATTTTTGTGCTAACCAAAATCTTACAGTGCGTCTATTTTTTCAGTATTTTGCTCAGGAGTTTGGTATAAACTATGCCACTTCAACATGTTGTGGGCTTTTTCCTCATCTAATCTGTGAACTTTTGACAAATACGGGTGTAGTCTAGACTTCAGATTGGAAGCTTAAGACTGTAGCAACACATGTGAAGTTAGGGAGTGGGATGCATGTTATCACTGCATTTATTAATATTGACTCATATTATTTCCTCCATAAGGAATATTAATCCTGATGTTCAATTTGAAGTACATAACTACAACATCACAACACTGGACAACTTTGAACACTTCATGGATAGAATAAGGTAAAATCTCTCAACAGCGTATCGCTAGCTTCTGCTGGTGTGGGGTTCGATACTGCCTCACATTTTTATTTTTGGGGTTTTCTTCAATATAATGGCTTCCAATTGAAAATCGGAGAGAGTTACGTTTAGGGGAAGACATTTCAACCTAGATCTTTTCTCTAGAGCTGGCATATATTTTTACTGTTACATAGCTATGTTTTATATTAGTGCATCTTCAGATTTCCAACCAAAGCTGCAGGTCTTACAGGCTTTTCCCATTTTAGAAAAGAGATCAGATCATATTTTGACCATGCTGGAGTAATTTCAGGTATGCTTTAGGGAGTGACGAAACAAAATAGTTACTAATGGATCTCACAGAGAAGTTCTGGGATAATTTTTGCCATTTGCAGTTATATGGTACAAAGATACAGTTCTCCTAACACTTTGTACTGTGGATGTATGCTGTATAAAACTTCCATTAATCCTACATGTCCGTAGGTTTAAATCCCAGCCTCAGCGTGCTGCTCTTCTGGCTGCAAATCTAAGGTGCTAGTTCTACCCTGTTTTGCACTTGCTCAGGTTTTGTTAGAAACACGCTTCCCATGTGCTTCTGTGCTCTGAAGCAGCATGTTAATTGTCTTGCTGATGTTCTGTCCTGCCACCAAGTACATGCAGGCTCTGACATTTGTTCCAGTAACGGTGCACTGGAGGAAGGGAGGCCTGTCGACCTTGTTCTGAGCTGCGTGGACAACTTTGAAGCTCGCATGGCAATTAACACGGTAAGGCCACCTAAGGCATGAGCTTGTGGTGGTCAGTTTTCTCCTGTAAATATTGTTGGGAATTATGCAAACTAGCAAACAGGCAGAAACTTAGGAGAATCTGCTAAGAAAGTTCCTCCTTGTTTTAAGGAAACAGAGTCTGAGCTTTTACCCTGTTCTTGTAAAATACATTTGATGTGCTTAAATGTAACTGTAGGGTTCTGGGTGAGTAGCAGCCCATGATAAGTAAAACAGCCAAGTGTCGTAAGCCCTCTCGGTATTCCCAAATGATCCTGTTTATATAAAGGTATTATCAAAGCCTGGCATGTTAAACCTTACAAACGTTTTAAAGACTCTGTGTCGGTAATTGTACACTTCATATGACTTTTTGTATATACTAATAATGCCTCCTTAAGGCTGCATACCTAATCAAACAGGTTTCCTTATAGGATCAACCCGCATAGTAGTGTACGTGCCAAATGCATGTTTCCTGTTATCTCCCAGCCAACTTGATCCGCAGATTGCATGCGCCGGCGGTACACAGATTCGTGTATCCGTGCCTCAGAAAGAGGCCTGTGCAGTTAGATTCCCTAGTGTGCACCTGACGGCTGGACTGCGAATGCCTGTGTTTGTTCAAAAGTCTCGGGTCTTCAGGAAAGCACAAAGGGCGAGCTTCCTGGGGACAACGCTAATTTGTCCTTTGCTTTGTTCTGTGACTCTGATAAACAATTTCTAGTCTCCTTTTCCTGATCATAGCCTCTTTGTTTTAAAGCAGGAAGAGCACTGTGTTTAATCGCTCTCAATTTACAGTGGTTTTTTCTCCATCATGCTTCTGCAGCGCTGACGTGTGTTTCTGTGTTAATAAGGCCTGCAATGAACTGGGACAAATCTGGATGGAATCTGGAGTGAGTGAAAATGCGGTGTCAGGACACATACAGCTGATCGTACCTGGTGAATCCGCCTGTTTCGCGGTATGCAGCGCTCTGCTCAACTGTCCTTTTGTCTGTCATTTAAAGTGGGACTGGGCCTATGAAGATGATAAGCTGGCTAGAGGTTGTTTTAATACCGTTTTAAACTGAATTTCTTTATCCCTCCCTCAGTGTGCTCCTCCACTTGTGGTTGCTACAAATATTGATGAGAAAACGTTAAAACGAGAAGGAGTTTGTGCAGCCAGTCTTCCTACGACTATGGGTGTTGTGGCAGGCATCCTTGTACAAAACGTTCTGAAGTAAGTGAGTGAGCTGTTGCTGTTCCACGTACAGCACCCTAAGAGAAAGAAACCTGGAAGAACACTGGCACTGTTGGACAGGGCTGAAATAAACACTGCTTGAATCACTGGGGTGTTCGCTTTGGAGCTGCTGTTCTCAATAGAACTTTTCTGGGCTAAGAAAACATCTTTGGAGTTTTCCTAAGATTTTCTCTTACTGCATACACACACACACAATTTTTTTGCCCCCCCCTAGTTGTGCATTTAAATATGCTCCCATCAGACATCGTGGAATCACACACACAAATGCTACGGCACTGGCATGTCTTTGAAATTTTGTACATGGGCAGAGAAATAATTTCTCTTGCAGTGTTTGTACTCCAAAAACCCGAGATGAATTAAAAACAGTTATACAGCAGCATGACACATGACAGTACTTTTTGAAAATACTAAAAATATGATTGCAGCTTTTAAAAGAACTGCACGTATCAGCAAGGACAGTTTTTGAACAACATTGTGCCCAGTTTCAAAATGATGCATTGTCTTTTACACACATCTTTGAGACAGGACCTTACTTAGCCTGCTTTTGGCCTCAGCTTGGTTTTGTCAGGTATACAAAAATGTCTGGTTACAAAGAATAAAAGTACTGTTTGCAAGTGTGCCTGCACGTGACAGAGCTCCACCTTCAGCTGTGCAGAGAGAGGTATTGTATAAAACAGCACAGCAGCTGGTGTTTAATGAAGAACGCAAACATTGCAGCCTGGAGCAGTATTTGCAATGAAAATAAAGAGGATTAAAATGGTTCTGATTAGCTGTTGGAAACTCACCCGTGGTAACACAGGGCACTTGAGTGCTTGAAGCAATGGATTAAGGCACAGGAGAAAACTGCTTACATACTACCACAAACACGTTTTTCTGAGCCTGTAGCTGACTTGTTCTCACACACTCACACCCCCGGAGGACCAGGCTCTGTGCTGATGCAGTTAATGCTGTTTTGAGGTGACCACAGCTTATTTTAAGACAATTACAGTAACTCTGTACAACTCGCTAGTGTGAGAAAGTGTATTCTCAAAGCCCCTGAGCAACTGAATTGGTAGGTTTGCAGCTGTTTACAAGGGCCTGCTTTCTCTGTGTGTGTTTCTAGGTACCTGTTGAATTTTGGTACTGTGAGTTACTATCTCGGTTACAATGCAATGCAGGATTTCTTTCCAACTATGTCTATGAAGCCAAACCCACAATGCAGTGACCAAAATTGCAGAAAACAACAAGAAAATCACAAGGTAAAAATGTTTTGGGGTTATTTGTTGAATTTTCTTCTCCCTTTCTTAAAGTGTAAGAACAAAGCAAGCTACAGCCGTGTAGTAAAACTTCCAGTTTTGAGCAGCCTTGTCTTCAGGGGGTGCGTGTGTTCATGCAGCACTCAAAGTAAAGGCTCGGCGGAATGGCTTGCGTTCAGTTAGACAGCATCACCTTCTGCAGTAATCGCTCACCTTTTCTGTCAGTCCTACCTTTCTGAGCGCAAATGGGTTTGGGTTTACTTCACCTTGCAGGTATTCTGCCTTTGTACGCCTGACAAAGTTCTAAATGGTGACTGCATCTCCTGAATTTTAAAAGAAGTGTGAATGTTAGACTTGATCATCTTTGCTGCCGTTCAGAAACAGACTATTACGTATGTTACATTTTTTTTTGTAATCCTTTTGTGGTGTTTTTTTTCCTTCAGAAAAAAGAAGCTGCGAGACCAAAGCAAGAAGTAACAGAACAGGAAGAAGAAATAGTACATGAAGACAATGACTGGGGTAAGTAACCAGCTGGGGACTAAACGATGTTCCCAGGACCAGGATTCAACTGAAGTCTTTGTTTTGGGTGAACACGCTGTAGGGTACACGGACTTCCCAGGGTTCCTATTTTTTGTAATTCACACTGCATAACTACTGCTGGCTTTTCACAGGTTGCGTCAGCAACGTTACCACAGCCCGAGGATGTGTTTTTAGTGTAATGTGCAGGTTTTGGGCTCAAAATGTAACCACGTTCGACTAAAAAACTTTCTCGGAAGGCGGTCTGAAGGGCTGAAAGATGTGAGGAGATGTGTTCATGGTGTGTTCCTTTTAAATATGCAACTGAGCAGCATTTGTCACTTCCCTACCCACTGTGCTGAGGTATCCCACGGATTTTTATATTCCTCTCGGGGCTTTAAATTGGAAGGACTTGTTTTGAGGAATGGTAAGCACGTGTCGTAACCGCTTCAAGAAGGGATACATACATTCTGTTTATTACATGATACAGAAAATAATCTTACCATGGAAGTGCTGTAGGAAACGTGTCGTTCTTGTCCCTGAGCTCCTGTACAGAAACATTTCCTGTACTGTAAAGGGAAAATATTTTGTGTGGATAATGGAATTAAGTAGTTGAAATCAAAGGTAGTTCTGCTTTTATTTTTTGCTATTTCAGAAAAGTTGCTGCTGTTCTCCTCTTCCTGTGATAACACAGTGATTAAAGAACTTTTTTTCTTCTAACTCTTAATGCAAAGGCATCGAATTAGTATCTGAGACTTCAGAAGATGAGCTGAAGGCTGCGTCTGGCCCAGTACCAGAGCTTCCAGAGGGAATTACTGTAGCATATACTATCCCAAACAAGGTAATGTATTTATTCTTTATGAATTTTTTTATATGCCTGTTGTAGATCAAGTTTATAATACCAGCCAGTCTGATTACCCTTTAAACCTAAAGTAGAATTCCATCTTGAACAATTCCAGCAAAACTGTACCTTGGTACACCCACTTGGTGCCTTCTATGGTCCAGTTTTGTGTTTCTGTGGAATACATTCCCTGAAGTATGGATGCTGGCATGAGCGTAGCTTTGAGATGATCGGAATGAATGTATTTGGGGGTGGGGGAAGGAAAACAAATGTGAATTTCCCAGCTGATGCTGTGGCGACTATCTGATTTTTACTGCAGCAATCTGTAAAAGCTCTGTGTAGTCGAAGAGCAGTTGGTACACCTGGGGGACACGGAAGCTGTGCGTAGGCAGCCAGAACATTCCAACTCCTAGAAAGGAAAACAAATGTGAATTTCCTAGCTGATGCTGTGGCGACTATCTTATTTTTACTGCAGTGATCTGCAAAAGCTCTGTGTAGTCAAAGAGCAGTTGGTAGACCTGGGGGACACGTAAGCTGTGCGTATGGCAGCCAGAACATTCCAACTCCTAGTCAGAATAGTTTGTGAATACAGCGTGTCATCACTTGAGCCTGAGCTCACTTGGTGTCACTGCAATAGAGCTTGCTTGTGTCAGTTCTTTTGTCTGCTGGTTTTGTTGCCAACTTTTTCTTCTTGCTCCTAATAGGATGAGAATTTCCTAACTGAAGAAACGGTAGCAGAGTCCGAAGAAAGCCTAGAAGAACTCATGGCCAAAATGAGAAACATGTAGCAAAGCAGATACTAAGTACAACTTTGGGGGCTTTGGATTGACATGGGATTTTGAGACCAGACTTGTTTGGTTTTTGATTTTGTTGTTGGTTTGGTGGTGTTTTGTTTGTTTGTTTGGGTTTTTTTACCTCCACTGAAGCTTATCTTTACATTTCTGATGCAATGGAACTGTTACAGGGCGGGAAGGAAGGAAACACCTTGTTTATATTCTCATGTCTGTCTGCATCTCTAAGACAGGGGGTTGTGCTGCTGGACACTTCAGTTTCTCAGCACTGCTAGTGCCCAGATACTCGATAGAAAATAAAAAGAGATGGATAAGCATCCCCCATAAGCAGGAGGGGGTATAGCACCTGATTTGCGGTGTCATGTGATGAGAACAGTACATGGCCTAGGACGAGCGAGCGAGGGGTGAAATCTGCTGGAGGGGCTTGGGAAGGAAGGAAACACCTTGTTTATATTCTCATGTCTGTTCACGTCTGTAAGACAGGGGTTGTGCTGCTGGACACTTTAATTTCTCAGCACTGTTAGTGCCCAAATACTCGGTAGAAAATGGATAAGCTACCAGGAGGGGGCATAGCACCTGATTTGCAGTGTCACGTGATGAGAACAGTACATGGCCTAAGCCATGGCCTAGGATGAGCAAGGGGTGAAATCTGCTGGAGGGGCTTGAGGAGGTCAAGGGCAGGTATCGTGCTCCTCATTTTCCAGGCACTTGTACTTGCCATTGTTCTCTGGTCTCTGTAAACTCTTGGCACACGTCATGCTGCTGTTACTCTGAGTAAACAAAACATTTCAGCCTTTTCATCTGACTTAAATATCTCTGGGATGGATTTTTTTTTTTAAAAACTTCCCTGGTCCTGTAAGTGTTTTACTACTGCTTGTTCTTAAATAGCTGCTGATGTGTTTTGTATGTGATAATGCTTTGAGCATGCTGCAGCAGGGCCAAGTCTTTTGTTTGCAGGTAATTACACTGGGAGAGTACTGTATGAGCATGTCACTGACAAAACCTGTAAGAATTGCCAGCGACACTGGAAGGAACAGGAGATTTTGTCTGTCTCTTCCAAAATCTAAATACTCTGTTTTTGTTGGTTATCCAAAGTTTAGCCTTAACTCTGATCCATGCCAATCACATGGGCTGTATTAAGAAATAGGCTTAATCCAAGTTGGCGTAGGAAAGCTTCTAAAATTAGATGCTCTCAGCTCTGTTTAGCGTTGCATATCTCTTCAGTGGAGTAGCTGAGCTACTGTGTTTGTCTTGTAAAGAATGAGAGTACAGTCGTACTGCCTTTCGCTTCCCCAGGTGCCGAAGTGACCTGGAAGTGTCCATGGCCTGTAGTGCCAGGACCCTGCAGAACTGGAAGTACCAATTGTAAACACTTTTGACTCCTCTGGGTGTCCATTCCAGACCTTGATCGTTAATTAGATTTGGCTGAGAAGAGAGTGAATTTCAGGCTTTGCAGTGTAACACAAGTATTTCCAGCTGGGGCCATACAAAAAACCTTTCTGCAGCACGCTGCAGCCCCCACACACCCAGCCAGCATGCAAGAGAGCGACAGTGTGGCAGCACTTCTGTTCCTTGGGGGGCAGCTGAATGAACAGGTAGTTAAATCGTGTTTGCTTCCCAAGGGTTACAAACTTCCAAGTCTGTCTCCTCCACAGCTGACACCAGAGTAGGTTATCGACCGAGAAGTCAGCCCTGAAGCGAGCGAGGGCGGTTTGGGTGGGGTGTGCAACGCTGTGAAATGCCACTGGTTGGTTTGGATGGGGTTCAGTTTTGGAGAAGCCAGATTTTAGACACAAATGGTGCAGAGGGTTGGGGAGCAGAACAACGGGACCATGAGAAGGTACAGACTTGCGTCTGCGTTGCTAAGTCTACGTTGGCTCGGTCTAAGTGTCCATTTAAGTGTTCCTCGTGTTTCTTTGTGACTTTACCTTCTTGTTGGGAACAGTGGGAGCGAGGCATTTGCAGCTCCAGAGACCCCGAGGCAAACTGTTGGCTCGTTTCGATGGCAGCTCTGTTAATCTTCATGCTTAACGATGTGGCCGCTGTAACGGCTAACACCGGCTTGACTGCTTTCTATGTTACTTCGTGTGCAGCTTTGAGCGCGGGAACACGCTCTGTATGCTCACTTGGAGTACGCAGGGCGGTGCTCGCGTTCCTTTCAGACTTTCCGCTTGTATGGATGACAAGTTTGACATAATTACAAAATACATCAAGGTGATTGTATGTGCCAATGGTTACAATTATTGAAAAATAAACAGCATCCCAAAAAAAGCTGCTTTCAGGATTTTTTATTTAGTTAAGACGACATTTACGAGTATAATCGGGCTGTAAGACACAAGGGAAGCTTTCTGACTTCTGTGACGAACTAACCAGTTAAAGCGTAGCGTGGCGGCTCAGCCCAGCTTCGGTTATCTGGCACCCTTACACAAGCGGCGTTCAGCCCTGACAGCGCGTCGCGAGATGCTGATGCTCTGCATGACTCAGTCTCCACCCAGGTGGAGTTCTACAACGCAGTATGATTTGGCATACACCGGGTATACCAATCACGCTGGTTTTTAACGTCGATAAGGTGCAACTACCAGCACAAGAACGACAGCCCTAAGAGGGCCGTGCATCCAGCCAATGTGCCCCTACACACCCCTTCCGCT